CAAAAAACATATGGGTCATTCTGCGAATCAGTTATAGGCAAGAACTTCTCAGTGTTTGGTGCTCACATTCCACAAAAGCTGTGTCCAAGAAGGACTCATTTAACCAGTATCATCTACCCCAACAATCCTGAGTGTCTATGTCCACAATGTTGAGTAGAGCAGAGGAAGAAACTAAGCACGGTGTTACTGGCAGCATTTTGGAATGCTTTTGGTCACAATGAATTTTGGCCACTGACCTCTGACTTCTGAGATAATCTATCCAACACGAAACCTTTCACCCAGCTTTTCAAGGAGGGTGAGTGTTCCCTTATTTTTAAAGCAACCATTGGTGACAAAAGGATGGCACATAAATTAACTACATAGGCTTTGGTAGAAGTTGTGATTTGTTTCCAAAGCTTCAGATGGAAATATAAACCTGAAATGCATCCCAGTGTGACACATGGATATCTTTTCAGTTTAAAAGCAAAGCTTCAGAGGTGTCAACTTCGGCTTCTGTGCTCTCACCCACCTCTCTGAGGAATATGAAATTGCTGGGGGCCCATGCATAAAACAAAAAAGCAGTAGAGAATAGCTTGCAGGCACTGGGAGGCTGGACAGATGATTGCAAAGATATTCCGCTGATTTTATGGGATAAGTGATGCTTTGAGCATTTTCCAAAGGGGAAAGAATGGTGAGCAACTTTATTTATCACAAAACAGCTGATTTTTTTTTTTTTTACTTATAAATGACTATAGTTTGAATATTTCTCCCCTCCAAAACTCATGTTGAAATTTAATCCCCAATGTGGCAGTATTGAGAGGTGGGATCTTGGGCCCTTTCACAGGTGATGGGTCATAAAGGCTCTGCCCTCATGAATAGACTAATTCAGCCATGGATTAATGGGTTATCATGAGAGTGGGATGGTGGCTTTATAAAAAGAGGAAGAGAGACCCAAGCTAGGATGCCCAGCCCCCTCACCATGTGATGCTCTGTGCTGCCTAGGAAGTCTGCAGAGAATCCCCACCAGCTAGAGGCCCTCACCAGTCCCTTGACCTTGGGCTTTTCAGCCTCCATAACCATATGAAATAAATTCCTTTTCTTTATAAGTTACACAGTTTTAGATATTGTATTATAAGCAACAGAAAACAGACTCAGACAAGAATCTTCAATGAAAAGCTATGGCTTTTAAATTTTGACTGGCATTATGTTATATAGATAGAACATAGTAACTAGCTCAACAGACCACACATAATTTAAATTTATTATTTTTCTTCTGGATAAATTAAGTTAGATAAAAGGAAATATTTAGCTACTAAAGTTTTGCATCTAAAACCTTCTTTGTGAAATTCTGGCTAATCTCTTTTAAAAAGTAATATAAAATCATGGGCATTATTTTGAAGAGCCAATTTTCTTCAGCATTGTGGTAATAATAATAATAACTAATGTTATTTAGGATTTGCTATGTGCTAGGTATTAACCAACTATTTTACATGCATTATCTCATTTAATCCTTTTAACACCTCTAGGCTATCAGTATGATTAGTCCCACTTACAGATGAAGAAACTGGAGCCCAGAAAGGTTGTGACTTGTGGAAAGACACACAGTAAGTTCCAGAGCCAGAGTTCAAACCCAGTCTGTATCACTGCATTCCTACAAAATTCACACTGATCAGTAGGTAGAAACCACTTCAGCAAAAGATGTCTGAACAGGAATGGTTAGTGCGGCATCTTTTGTAAGAGTTTAACATTCAGAAAAGCTTATCTATCTATCATTAAGGGACTGGTTAAACTGATGGAAGTTAATCTATTCACTGGACTAGTTTTGTATCTGTTAGGAGTTATTTTACAGAGATGAACAGACAGTGTGATCCAATTTTAGTAAACACACTACATTTACCAGTATTCATATACATTAAAAAGTCTGGAAAATTATACAGCAAAAATACTAACAATGATCATTGTGAAGTGGTAGGATTCTAGGTAATTTAAAACATTAACTTGTCCCAATTTTTCCCACAATAATCGTGTAATAAAGAATAGAATAAAACCTTTAAAATGCACACCACTGTCCTTTCATTGAGAAATGCTGTTGCTCTTTTGAGTTGCAGACTGGAAATCAGCCCTGACTGCTCTCAGGTGCTCTATGACCTTGAACAAGTCATTTACCCTCTCTGGGTCTCCCGTTTTGTATATATAATATAAGAAGGCGACTTAATTTTGCCTTTGTGTTCTAATATTCTTTAACTTAATGAATCTCATTCTTAGCAAAGTTCTTTTATAAAAAGAACAAATAGTGTGTGGAGGTTTAAATGTTGATAAATGATTTCTTCACACTTCATCTGTTTTCTTCAGCAGATGAAGTTATTATTCCCATTATCCCCTTCCCATGAGTCCTTTAAGAAGGAAAAGTTGGCTTTTTGCTATCACCGGGGATGGCGGAGGGAGGTACCCTTCTGAGAGGAAGAGGGATGCCTGAAACCTGGATTTTCATTTTCGAGATGGAAAGTCCATCAGACTCAGCTGTGGTTTTACCTAGCACTCCTCAGGCCTCTGCAAATCCATCATCTCCCTATACAAACAGTTCATGAAAACAACCTATGAGTGCAACACTTAGAGAAAGGAAAACAAGATCTTTATTTAATTCCAGTTATAATGTGGTGAAACGTCTTAATCTTACAGTAGAGAATGAAGAAAACAATCAGACCTTTTCAGAGAAACCAGCATCTTCCATAAAGAAAAACTGTTAGGAATTTCAAGAAAGTTTTAAACACATAGACAGTGGATTTGAAGAAATTACAAGTTTGAAAAATACTTTGAAGAATCTCAATGTCTGTGAATCTCAGTCACTTGATTCTGGGTCATACAGAGGTCTCCAGAATTAGTTTGTGAATGAGAATCTTCCTAAACAAAGATTAAATGACAAAAAAGCCAAATTGGCTGGGCGAGGAAGCTCATGCCGATAATCCCAGCACTTTGGTAGGCCAAGACAGGCGGATCACCTGAGGTCAGGAGTTCCAGACCAGCCTAACCAACATGGAGAAACCCCGTCTCTACTAAAAATACAAAATTAGCTGGGCCTGGTGGCAGGCACCTGTAATCCCAGCTACTTGACAGACTGAGGTGGGAGAATCTCTTGAACCCGGGAGGTGGAGGTTGTGGTGAGCTGAGATCACACCATTGCACTCCAGCCTGGG